ATTTTATCACGCCACTGTATCCAGAGAACCTAGATGAAAGGGTTAACAGTTACTTCTGGCAGTTTGCTAGATGATTTGGATGAAATCTCCGCTCTTCCACGATCAGTGATGAAAGCGGGACACTTCAGTCCTGAATACTATATCACAGTTGCTTACTTGGATACAAGTAAGGCTGCCAGCCATAGGCACTGTCAGACTGAATGTCTCACCAGGCATATGAAGTTTCGCAAGGACGTTTGATTTTTCTACGTGTCGGATGTGGTGTTTTCACTTAGCTTCTTTTGCAGCACCAGGTAATGCTCAGCGTTCTTAACGAAGTTCCTTATCTTTGAAAAGGGCCAGCATAATCTGTGATTATTTCTAAAATTCTTCTTAATTATAAAACATTGAGCTTAATTAAGTTTACAAAAAATTGCATAAATTCTCTGATACCAGAACCAGACGGCGCACTACACTATCTTACTCCGTGGCGTGTTTTGACACACTTGTCTGCCTACGAGGTCCTAACTCCTGTTGTACCAGGTTCGATTCCGCTCTAGGGCAATCTTTGTCTTATTCGCGAACTTGCGCAAGGAATTTATCACACATTGCTCCGGAACCAGTAGGTCCCGAGTTCAATGCTCGGTCAGGTTCACTCACCCTTCTTCTTTCCGAGGTTGATAAATGAATAACACTTTGTGGAAAGCAAACAGGACAGTACTATACGATATGCTTGCCACATGGCTATAGACTTTGCCTTAAAATAACACTCCTGGCTGATGGCATAGCGACGGAAATCAACAGTGTAACATCAACTTCATGAAAAGAGGGGCGTCAAAATGGCTGTCATGAACGTGAAGGAAGACAGACATTCCAACGTTACTAACTTTTCTTCCCCTTGTTTCCTGTTACGTCAGAGAGTTATTTAAGCAGTTCAGCTAAATCGTGTTTGAGTGCTTGCAGCATTAGGTCATTTTGCATCATTTTGCTGACTGGAGTAATACCGTGCTCATCTCCACTCTCTTGCCAACGCCGGTACTCCTTTTATGTTTTTGCAAAATACTGATGATTTTACCTCATGATCTGCTTTAAGCCAAATCAAGAATGCTTCGAAAAGTTGGAAGCTTATTGTATATGCATTACTATGCAGCGTTGTCTCAGGCAGCTTCTTTGTATTTCCGTAG